TTAAGTTCTATAATTGGTCAGCATAGGCTTATGACACTATTGATCGCTCCTAGAGTGGTCAATATCTGCTTTATTCGAAAACAATAATATTTACGAACATTTAATATATTATCGTCAACTAGCGACTGTCTCACAAATTAACACATTGACAGCCGGCCCCGCGAAAACGCGGGTTTCTGAGTCTGTCGTTTGAGCGCCGGCCCTGCGAAAACGCGGGTTTCTGAGTCTGTCGCTTGAGTAACTGCGACAGTAAAAAGAAGCGAGAGTAACTTTATGTGTGCTGAATGCTTAGTACCTTTACATCTTGGACAATGTTTCGAGAAATACCACACTTGCCTTAAATATTAAAACTTTTGCTTTCTGTTTACGTTATATATATGTAATAATCCACCATAAAATGAGAAACTGTATTTTTTTTATAATTATAAATAAAAAATTTCAATTTTGTTTATATTTTTAATTACCGTTAAATTGTATGTGACGAATATGCAAATAAAATGTACTATTTTACGAAAATATATAATGTTTTAAATATCTTTTTGGCTATTCAGTGATCAGAAACAAGCGAATAAGGCCGGCACTCAGGCTTTAAATGTCTCTTAGGTCGCCGGCTGTCAATGTGTTAAGGTATTTTAGCAAAGTTGTGCACACCTCCGTACACTGTGTTCAATTGTGCGACACATTGTCTATCCTGATGGACATATTTTGCTAAAATACTCTCTTAATTGACTCCATTTCATTAATATATGTAATTTTCAATCTAATTCAATAAATTTCCCGATATCTAATATTTCAAAAATGTTTTTATCATTTTTCAAAATTATATTTTAATTTACAATGTATTTCACAATATTACATTGAAGTCAATTAGATTGAATTTCATGATGAAAATTATGATTTATTTTGAAATATTGATTATTATATATTTCAGTAATTTTTCAGTAACTTTCATCGAGTTCATAGTATACTCGAATATAAAGAAAGTTAAAATATACTGCTAAAATTTACTGAATTTAACTGAAAATTGCGTATATTAACGGAATGATAACGAAATGGAGTCAATTCAGGGGGAATTTCAGTAAAATTTTTAGCATAATAATAATATTTCCATCAGAATATTTGTATCTTACTGGAAAACATCCACAACGACTAACGCGAATGACATTGCGAAACGTGGTGAATTGTCCGCCAGCGGTGCTTCGTCAAATCAACCCGAAGATTCAAACATATTTGCCTGGGTGAATTCGCTATCTGACGGCAGTGATGTTCTGATACGAAATGTCGCAAGTGTGCGTATATGTTTGTATGTTCGATGATTGTAATAATTTTCTTGCGATGAGAGATGAATTCTTCTAACACATCGAGCTTCGCGAATGTGCAACGAGAATTTCTCGGGCTGGTTCAGTTCGTTCTATATATACACTTTGTTTATCGGTAACGTCTTACTGTGTGGTAACATACATCGGGTTAGCGCACGAGTTCGTCTCCTTTTTTTTAATCAAAATATACGTGTAACGTTTATTTATTTCAAGGAAGTTATAAGGTGAAATGAATTTGATAAAAACTCAATGAAACTTGCAATTAGGAAAAAAATTGATCATTCAAGAACTGAGATATTCGCAAAGTTGACACTTTTTATATGGTTGCTGAAGATTAGCGTACTATATTTAATTTCTTCTAAACTATAGAAATAAAATAAAATATAATGTTAAAATCTATTAACACATTATATGTATACACAAATTTCAGAATTATTGACTATTTTGTTTTGAACATACAACGGTGTAAAGTTCATAATTTATAGTAATATTTGACATATGTATACATATTTAATTATCTATGCACTTCTATTGAATCAACTGCATAGCACTATTAAGAAGAATAAAAGATTATATTTTTGTAATCTGTAATTTTGTGTATATATATTTATCTCGACTTCGTTTAAAATTAACACTCGTCATTTAGATAGCAAAATAAATATATGGAAATAATTTTGCTTGATAGGTACTATATTTTTTTAATTTAAAAAATTGTTCCTTTGATGTATCACTGAAGATACGACACTGAGCCTCACAATCTCCTTAAAACACAATCAATGATGCGCTGTCTTTTGTTCGATGACCTGTCATTTTTTCAGCAGTTGCAAAACAAATCCAGGTTTGTAGAAATTCTGGGATTTCTAAGCAAAGAGCTAATTAGGAAATGGGATAAACTTTCGTATGAACTTAATATTAACATGCAACTGTCAGCACTTGAAAAAAAGGACGAAGCTCGGCGCGTTAAAGTTCCTCGTTAGACGTTGGGTAAACGATTACAAATTATTAGGCACATATACTACGTTCCTCCCTTCCATCTGTTTTCTTTCTCCCTACTGAGCGCAAGGATCTTTAGGCTGAAAATTTGTTTCTTACGATCTATATATGCGAAAAATCACGCCATTTGTCGCGCAATCAAGATCGTACAGCTTGGTAGTTTCCCATCAGTGATTAGGAAGTGGACTTCCTAGACTTCATCCTCGCTGGATTCGCTGCTGTAAGCCAGTTGCTCCTTCCACCATTCTCGCACCTCCAACATGACGCTGGAAACTTTAGGAGCGGGTGCTTTGCTGTTCAACGTCTCCCTCTGCTGTCTGCTTTGTTCCGTGTTTTCCGTTAGGTGCGGCAAGTTGTTTTTCACCATTGCTGAGGGAAATCGGAATGATAAGATGCTGGCTCGGCGCACAGGAAAGCGACATCGCAAGTAAAAGAGAGAGGCTCACATGGCGGTCTGCTGTTCCTCTTCTTCGCCACAGCGATTTTATCCTTCTCGGTTCGTACGGACGCGGGATCCGACAAAGTTGGAGCCAGATACTTCCTTCCTGACGCGCTCCCTATGCTGTCCGACCGTGGGAGCACCACTGGCTTCTTCACTCTGTGCTTCGGTACTTCGACATCCTGTTGGTGAAAGATCAGCGAAGTAATTTCATTTTTATGAGAGAGAGAGAGAGAGAGAGNAGAGAGAGAGAGAGAGAGAGAGAGAGAGAGAGAGAGAGAGAGAGAGAGAAAGGTTGCCAGGTCATTTTTACAATTCTCTTTTTTACAATATCATACCAATGTTGTCAATTTTGACTACCCAACTTTTTCAATAACTGAGTGCGCGGCTAATTTCAGACATTATAAATTATTGATTTTTTTAACGGCAACAGATAAGAATAACGTTTGAAATTAGATGTATATTCAGTTATTGAAAAACTCGAGTACCCGAGTAGTTGAAATTAACAGCATTAATTCATACTACGGAAAGGATATACGAGGGCAGTCCGATAAGTACTTAGCCTACAAAAGAAAAACGAAAATTTTGGAAAAGTGGCGATTTATTTCTCAACATAGTCTCCTTTTAGCTCGATACACTTGACCCAG